AGTAGTCCATTGAGCGAAGATTGTAATCGTTAAGTCGTCTGAGTTTATAATAGTGACTTATTATCGTACCTTTGTTAATCATCATCATCTTGTGACGTGTACTATGAATGACAGTAAAGTTTATGTGGCCTGTCACAAGCGTTACTGTTGACTCGTCAGGACAGTAACAACTGTATTAGCTGGTGCTGTGCCAAGTGTGCCAGTTATATTATGCAGGACTGTAGCACATCCATCAAGGAGAGATCCATCGGAATATTAGAGTAGGCACCCTAGACCTACATACTTGGTTATTTACAGATACTAAGGAGTATCAGTGCGTAAACATACATGTTATATGGACTAACATAAATAAGTGCTCTGTACACCTATAGTTTACACAGAGGGTAATACAGTGTACAACATATGTTTTCAACATTAAACTCATCCACTGGCATGCTGGCTGTCTCCCGCACAGCTTGCGTCCTTTACTGTAGCTGCTGCTTCTTAGCGTTCATCAGCTGTAAACTCCAGGGGAAAATCCTGATTGTTCGTCCACTTCTGGATTTTCGTCGTGTTCCGCAGCTTGAGTTTTGTGTGTACATCCCTTTTACACATCTGGCTTATTTGTATGTAGACTGTTGGTTTCTCGCCTCTTAGGCGGATGCACTCTTAACTTCGAAGGCAGAACCCTAATTCGTCGACTTTTACGACATGCTTGTGGGGGGGGGGTGCAGAGGGTCTATTCTTTTTCGCTCCCACAATTTGCCTCGGGAACCCACACGGGAATTGAACTGTAACAACCTGTGGGTCCAAATGAGTTAACACAAACATAAACATGACATATTTTAGCAACAGATAAAAACTGTATACTCTGACTACATTGCAATGGTATTCTCGCTATTTCTGCTTCTATATTTGCCGGATTTCTCGAAAGTACCGGATGTTACCAATATTGAATCGTAACAGCATTTGTATTCTTCTGATGTATTGCTTGATCCGACTTTGTTGTTCTGTCTGTCACGCCCTTTCCATTGTCTGAATAAATATAACATGGGGGAGGTTAAGAGACGAGGCAGAACAATACCCATGAACCAACGAATGAATGAGTTGTTGGACATAATGTGCAACTGCTCAGGTAGCTTGTAGTTTAGAGCGGGTTCTGGATACCCGCCAACTTCACAGATTGCTTGAGCAGTTCCCGCGAGTGTCTGCCTGCGTGTTTGTCTGTGCGTTCTGTTGGCCCTGCGCAAGAAAGGTGAGAGCGCTCACGATATGTGTGCTCTCTCAGGTTGTACAAGGTGTGGCGTTATAGTCTCCTCGTTATGGTGAGAATGGCTTAGGTACAATAACCTGGGGTCTCAGGTACCCTGAGCGCCCACGCCCCCCCCCAACCCCTGCCATTATATATTAAATTATATATATAAATTGGAGGAAAGGAATCTCAGCCCCGTTACGGTTCTATTCTTTCATTTCGCCCTATCTCCGAGATTTCATGGCGATTCCCGAGAAAGTCCAGTATTATGAAAAAAAAAGTGGGGGGGGGGGGCGTTTTAGTCAGTGTTAATTTTATCCCTAAAACTCCTGTACTATTGGATTTTTCCGGGAACTCGCCACGAAATCTCTGAGTCTCTGAGAGAGGATGAAATAAAATAAATGTATCCCCCCCCCCCCCCCCCCCGCCCCACATATTTAGCGAGCAGAGCAACCCCCCCCCCCTCTTTTAACTCATGTATAAAGGTTTGTTTATATTTTGCATATTTTGTTCTGAAATGCTAGCATTATTAATTATTGTTGCGCTATTGAACAAGATGTTTGCCCCTCGACGCCTACTGTCCTCAAGTCAGTTATATGGGGACTGAGGGCCTCCCACTTCCAATATTTTCTTCGTGGCGGTGCGCCTGGGTAATGGATGGGGTACCGTTCGTTTTCTGCACGTTCTGTGGATGCATGCATTTACTTGTGACACCAGGTCAAGCTGTACACCCTAAAGTGTTTTCATTTCTCACACTAATCAAATTCCCCGTCAACATCAGTTAGTAAATATCTGTCAGGTGTCCTCTCCGCAGTGAAGCTTGGCTGGAGTCAGGTGTCATCTCCGCAGTGAAGCTTGGCTGGAGTCAGGTGTCATCTCCGCAGTGAAGCTTGGCTGGAGTCAGGTGTCATCTCCGCAGTGAAGCTTGGCTGGAGTCAGGTGTCCTCTCCGCAGTGAAGCTTGGCTGGAGTCAGGTGTCATCTCCGCAGTGAAGCTTGGCTGGAGTCAGGTGTCCTCTCCGCAGTGAAGTGAAGCTTGGCTGGAGTCAGGTGTCATCTCCGCAGTGAAGCTTGGCTGGAATCAGTCTACTATGTCTTTTGCCCCAAATGTACGCTGTGCAGTTCGTCTATCTCTGATCGTAATATGGGATTCCCTTCTACATTCTATATTTTTTTTTTAATGTAAACGGAGAAGAGGACGGTAGATAACCTGGGAAAACCTGGTTAAAACAAAATTACATAATGAAGCACACTAGGGTAACACGAACAGACTTGTGATTTTTACGGCCTGGAAAGAATGAGGCACCTGGGTATAACCAGAGGGTCTGGCTGGCTCACTACACACAGAGGAAATGCAAGACGGACATATAACCAGAGGGTCTGGCTGGCTCACTACACTCAGAGGAAAGGCAAGACGGACATATAACCAGAGGGTCTGGCCGGCTCACCACACAGAGAGGAAAGGCAAGACGGACATATAACCAGAGGGTCTGGCCGGCTTACTACACACTCAGAGGAAAGGCAAGACGGACATATAACCAGAGGGTCTGGCTGGCTCACTACACTCAGAGGAAAGGCAAGACGGACATATAACCAGAGGGTCTGGCTGGCTCACTACACTCAGAGGAAAGGCAAGACGGACATATAACCAGAGGGTCTGGCCGGCTCACCACACAGAGAGGAAAGGCAAGACGGACATATAACCAGATTGTGACCAGTACCGTCAGTATTGGAACTGTGCGCTGGCTGCATTAAGATGAGAAGGCCCCAAGTGCTGTGATGTCAATTGACTCAACTCAACTAAGCCTGTGGTTAGCTGCAGGGATGTATTCATTAGCGTCCCTGGTTAACACACATTTTTTTAACACGAACTTCCCCTTTTCAGTCTCTTTGAATTTGTGTTTACAATGTTTTACTATAGTAGACCAGCCCCATGCTGCTCGTTGATAGCCGCGAACCCAGCCTGCCATCTTGTCAACTGTTACCCAGCATTTGTTAATCAGTCATACACACAGGACTTTTTTTTCTTGGCGGTACCTTATTTAATAGATACCTGGTAAGTACCGCCACCACCACCCCCCCCCCTTTTTTTTTTTTAAAAAGACGCTTCATGGTGAGTACCTTCACATTTTTGCTTTCTCGATAAAACCACTGCAAATACTCGAACATACAATGTCATAAGAATACCAAACCTTACAAAAAGAAAGAATTACAGGCAATAGTTCTGCATGTCCCTATATGGTGCATTGGGCATATAGGGCTAGACCTATATTTTATAGGTCAGTCGGTGAGTGATGCGGTCAGCATCACACCGGTCGTCTTTATTCCCTAGGACTGTACCTGGTACCCAGTCAAGGCTGGGTCGACCTGAGAGCCAAGGTCATTTTTGAACTAAGTCCGGTTCCGACAGGTCCCGAACCCACGACCTTCCCATCCACAGGCGGGAGTCTAGCCGCTACGCCACGGTGGCTGTCGAACCCACACTACGCCGTGTGTAACGTTCAACTAATAGAGAGACCGGAGATCCCTGCGAGAATACCCACGGAACTGGCCAGTATTGGAGTACCGGAGAGAAACACAAGCAGACATCAAAGCAACCAAACAGAGTGTATATAAACATGAAAGGAATGGCTGGCAGCGAGATGCAGAGAGAGTCTGACGGAGCTGGTCGAGATGTTTCTGGAAGCCAAGAGGCGCTGCACTTATGGGTTTCCCATAAACATATTTCTGTATGTATCTGTAGATATCAGGTTGCTCTGCGAGTTAAAGCGTTAAGTCCACGCTGGCTGGCGTACTGGCATTCCGTAGATTACCTGCTGCAGGATTCTAGGCTGGGCTACATCCTGGCTGAAAATAGGGGAGCAATTGCTGTCGAGCTTATATTCATTATCATCATCATCATCATTATCAAGTGCTTAGCCGACAGGCGAATATAAAGGAAATAAGCAAACAAAATTAGACCTCGTTCCGCCAACTTGGAATAGATATCACATTTCCTGGGAAGTAAAGGTGGTCGGCATGATATTGCCACGTCACCAGAGTGTGTTATTCTTTAAACCAGTGTTTCCCAACCTTTATTGTGTCATGCTCCACCTAGGCCTTTTTAAAATTCGTATGCCCTCTGTGGAACGTAAACTCTGAACGTTACCACTGTTCCACTGCCCTTAACAATGAAATTACCCTCCTTAACAATCAAATTGCCCCCTTAAAAACGAAGTTACACTCCTTAACAATCAAATTGCCCCCCTTAACAATCAAATTACTCCCCTTAACAATCAAATTGCCACCTTGTGGGGCGTGGGACCCATGTTGGGAAACACTGGTTTAAACAAATATGCTAGCACCTTATACTTACAAGTGTGTCAACACTTCGTTCCCTGTACGTGTGATCATCTCCTCTCCTCCCTGTCGTTGTGTCAACACTTCGTTCCCTGTACGTGTGATCATCTCCTCTCCTCCCTGTCGTTGTGTCAACACTTCGTCCCCTGTATGTGTGATCATCTCCTCTCCCCCATGTCGTTGGGTCAAAACTTCGTCCCCTTTATGTGTGATCATCTCCCCCCCCCCCCCATGTCGTTGTGTCAACACTTCGTCCCCTGTATGTGTGATCATCTCCTCTCCCCCATGTCGTTGTGTCAACACTTCGTCCCCTGTATGTGTGATCATCTCCTCTCCTCCCTGTCGTTGTGTCAACACTTCGTCCCCTGTATGTGTGATCATCTCCTCTCCCCCATGTCGTTGGGTCAAAACTTCGTCCCCTTTATGTGTGATCATCTCCTCCCCCCCCCCCCATGTCGTTGTGTCAACACTTCGTCCCCTGTATGTGTGATCATCTCCTCTCCCCCATGTTGTGTCAACACTTCGTCCCCTGTATGTGTGATCATCTTCTCTCCTCCATGTCGTTGTCTCAACACTTCGTCCCCTGTATGTGTGATTATCTCCTCTCCCTCCTGTCGTTGTGTCAACACTTCGTCCCCTGTATGTGTTATCATCCCCTCTCCCCCATGTCGTTGTGTCAACACTTCGTCCCCTGTATGTGTGATTATCTCCTCTCCTCCCTGTCGTTGTGTCAACACTTCGTCCTCTGTATGTGTGATCATCTCCTCTCCCCCATGTCGTTGTGTCAACACTTCGTCCCCTGTGTGTGTGATCATCTCCTCTCCCCCATGTCGTTGTGTCAACACTTCGTCCCCTGTATGTGTGATCGTCTCCTCTCCCCCATGTCGCTGTGTCAACACTTCGTCCCCTGAATGTGTGATCGTCTGCTCTTCCCCATGTCGTTGTGTCAACACTTCGTCCCCTGTATGTGTGATCATCTCCTCTCCCCCATGTCGTTGTGTCAACACTTCGTCCCCTGTATGTGTGATCATCTCCTCTCCCCCATGTCGTTGTGTCAACACTTCGTCCCCTGTATGTGTGATCATCTCCTCTCCTCCATGTCGTTGTGTCAACACTTCGTCCCCTGTATGTGTGATCATCTCCTCTCCCCCTGTCGTTTTCTGCTTCTTGTCTCTACTCATGGAGTACCTTGCGGTGTCAAGGCAGGAAGAGATGTCTGGAACGGGCCACCTCTTTTTGCTTCATATAAAACACTTTTCATTGTCTCTGATGTTTCTTCTGCGTGGTTAATCTCTGGACCTGTTACCCTTGTATCTGTATAACATTTCTCTCTGTGGGCCCCTGTCTGATGTCAGTCTTGATACATGGTCAAACCATTTGATTTGTTGTCTGCCTATCAAGTTCATTGTCCTGGTGAAGTAGAGCCGGCCGGCATAATTCTGACCACATTACCCACCTAGTGCCGATAGTCTTTAAAAATATGGGCGCTCTTCCCATATGCCCGATACGCCTAAAGGGCGTGAAAAGGGATCTTTACTTCATTATTGGTTCTGTGCCGACTCTCCCTCTGTTATCATTGGTCCTAAGTCGAGGCATTCAAGTCTTCCCCTGTGTGAGTGTTAAAATCCTTATCGCCTGCTAGCTATTTGACTGTACGTGTATACAGTGTTTTATTGACTTCTGCCTCCACATGTGAAGAACACATTGATTTGGCTAGCTAATCCCTGTGTGAATTATACGGAAGATAGCAGGAGTGTGCTGGTAACGGTGATCTGGGAGAGGGAACATCTGTTGTCAGTTTAACAATACAGGAAATCCACGTATCAATGCACACACGCCTGCGCGCACCCTCGCACGCACATACGTATATACAAACACACATACATTCTGTATCTCCTTTTACCTTCTGTCCCTGGTCAGTACATAGGTCCGAATTCAGTTCTTCTCTTGTCCTCTCGCCAAACCTGACCTATGTCCTTCACACGTCATTCACTGTCGGAAGGGCTAACGCGGACAACAAATGCCTGCAGAAGTCGGATGTGTCGGCCGAAAAGCGCAAATATCGCAGCCATGCTGTAAACGGGCACAAGCTCATTTACATCTTTGGTTGAAAGAAGGAGAAATTATTCAACGCTGCCTCTTTTTCTTCTTCGATCCTTCTGTCAGAAAACTTATATCAGGAGGCTGGTAGTAGCCTTTATGAAAGCTATCGTGCAATCCATATCCTCTCGTGTACCATACAGTTTTGTCTTCAGTGTGGTTGGAACAGGCTAGATTGCGTCTCCGTTGTCAGCATACAGTTGACAGTGTTGGAGCACATGCTCAGCATTTTCGGGTGCCACGCTGCAGGGACCCGTCTCCGTGTTTCCGACACCGAAAATTTTGAACATATGTTGACGAAATCTGTTGTGCCCAGTCCTTAGTCTGAATATAATACACTGTCCCTCTCTAGAGAGGCGATGAAGTGAGTCTTGGGGAGAAAATCTGGTGTGGGTATCCAGCCACCTTTCTTGGATACTAGATTGTATTAATGTTTTCGTCTCTTGGTGGGTTCAGTCACTATTTGGTTGTACCATGTCACTGCCGCTTCTGGCCAATCTGTCCGCTATTTCATTGCCTTCCAAGCCACAGTGACCTGGAATCCACTGCAGTACAGATTGTTCTACTGAAGAGCCTAAGCAAATCAGCTGTTGCGTCAAGTCTACAAACTGAGTGTCTTTTGGGTTAACAATTGCTTGTAGAACTGACATAGCATCAGTCAGAAAGACCACTCTGCTATATTTGCTGTGCTGTTGTCCATTCAGGAAAGAACATGCCGCTAGAAGTGCTTCTGCCTCTGCTCTGTAATTGGAGGAATATGAACCTGTTGGTACAGCCTGGTTGATTTTTAAACCATTTGGGCATTCTGTGTATATTCCAACGCTGCCTCTGATTATCTTCCTAGCTTGGTTGCTGTCAATCTTTCCACTGATTCTCGAAGATAGACATTCTCTTAGTGTTTTCGCATCGTTTCTTATCAGTGGGAGCAAAGCCGGGTGTAGTTGCTATGAACGCTGAACATAAGACTACCAGATCGATTAGCAAGATAATTGGTTCGCATCCTAATAAAGCCGACCACGCAGCGGTCGACCCAGCATGACACACATTCATGGCAAGCAAAGGCGGCCGGCGTGATGCTGACATCAGCCACCCAGTTCCGATTGGTCTATTGATCCACGCAGCCTTATAGCAACATACGCCAACATTAGCTAGTAGATTGTTTCAGTCATCCTCCATGTTTCTGATCCACGTATCCCTTCTTCAGCTTACAATTCACTAGCTAGTAGATTGTTTAGCTCTCCTCCATGAATCTCATCGCATCGCAGCAGAGCAACATAATACATGTTCGCTAGTAGATTGTTTCAGTCATCCTCCATGTTTCTGATCCACGCAGCGGAGCAACATACAAACATTAGTTAATGTGAATGTGCACAGACCACTTAGATTGTCGTATGTAGGGGAGACAATAACCATGAAATCATTGTGGAGTTTCATGCTGGGTGTCTATATGTGTGTGGCACCACGTCTGTATGTGTGTGGCGCCACGTCTGTATGTGTGTGGCACCACGTCTGTATGTGTGTGGCACAGACGTCTGTAGTGTGTGTCGCCACGTTTGTATGTGTGTGGCGCCACGGAAATCATTGTGGACCACGGCTGTATGGGTGGCACCACGTCTGTATGTGTGTGGCGCCACGTCTGTATGTGTGTGGCGCCACGTCTGTGTGTGTGTGGCGCCACGTCTGTATGTGTGTGGTACCACGTCTGTATGTGTGTGGCGCCACGTCTGTATGTGTGTGGTACCACTTCTGTATGTGTGTGGTACCACGTCTGTATGTGTGTGGCACCACGTCTGTATGTGTGTGGCACCACGTCTGTATGTGTGTGCCACCACGAACTGAGCTGCATTGTCTGTTTTAGTATCCAGAACCCATGAGTTGTTAACCCTTAGGCTCGGTATTATGCATATCGCAACACTTCGGCCTTGATTCCATTGTAAACACCGTAAATCTGGGAGAAATGTGGCTTTCCTGCCTACCCCCGGGACTGAACCCGGACCACAAGGAGTTCGTCACCTGACCTCCGCGCAATCCGGTTTAGCCAACTACGCTAGAGAGCCGGGCTTTGAGCTGCATTGTCAGCGAAGACTGCAAACAATTAACTGTGCATATTCAGGTAGGTGTTTGTGTGGGGAATAGGAGATCCTATAAGTAAGTGTATGAGTGTGTTTGTACATGTGCGCGTGCATGCGTGCGTGTGTGTGTCTTTTACTGTCCCTATTATATCACATTCAGTTGGGAGGGGGGGGGGGTTGGTTGTTATCTTGAGTGTTTAGTTCTGATGCTCCGCTCTCCCTCCACAACGAACATGTCGTAGGAGGCGAATAATTACAGGTGTGGCTTTTAAAGTCTGCGCGCATCTGCCTGAGAAGCAAGGAACCAACAGTCTGCATATATAAAAAAAGTGTGCCAAATGGAACTCAAATTCTGGATCAAGACTTGAGTGCAGGAGTGGACGAACAACCAGAACCTCTCCCCAGAATTTCCGCTAAGAATAAGAAGGAGAAGACAGGAACTAAGGAGATGGCAGGCACGTCAGCTAGCAACCACTGCTGTCAGTGAACGGTGGACATTATATATAACCGAACGTGGGGAGAAAAGGGGCTACAACTGATGTGTGAACGTGCCTGATGTGGTGGCAGACGTTCAAGCCTAAGAGCCGTTACAGGAGGTTTCTGAACCTGATCGTTAGCGCCAGGTTGCGGCTAGGTCGGGCCAGCAGCTGTTTGAGATACTGATCGCTGAATACCGAGGTATAGCTCAGGTTGTGGCTGCTGTTTCTCTCTCTCATCCGCTAGCATTGTCTGTACACCCGGTCTGGATCTTATCAATGAGAGAGAGAGAGAGAGAGAGAGAGAGAGAGAGAGAGAGAGAGAGAGAGAGAGAGAGAGACGTATGTTGGTACCGAGACCAGGCCGCGATGTATTACACCAGCCAGCACGGTACGGGATGAGCCAAGCGATTTGTAAATTTGTTACCTTTAGTGTTACAAGGGTGAATCAGAAACCTCGAGCGTACAAGCCAGGAAGTACTAACCGTTGTCTGTGGGTTCAGTGAAGGCAATCTTAAAACTATGATTGTATCTTCATGTGAACACATGGAGTTTAATTACGGGATTTGCTTCTGTGGATTACTGGACGTGTATTCTAGAAGGTTCTGGATAGTGGATACAGCACATTGTTTTACGCGTGAGATCCGTTGACAGAATTTGGCTTACATTAGGATGTGTGATTCTATAGTTCCCTTGTGAATTTTGAGGTCACTTTTCGTGCACGGGCGATGTTTGTTTCTCGATACGTTAGTGAATTGTGTAGAAAGTATTACTACCTCTGTGCCATGCGCCGTTGCTTTTCGAAAAGAGGCAAGTTTTAATTTAGTGCAACAAGGAGTTCCTCAGATGTTATTTTCAGCGGCATGTTTATACTGATAGGCTTGGTAGTATCACTTGTGGTATGAAAACTTACTTCTGTTAAATCACGTGATACAGTACGGAATTTTTGGTAGAATTTAACTCAACATTAGGCAACTCATCTAACGCTGATATACAAATTACCCCATACTTACCGAAGATTTCAGTTTTCTTTGCTCACTCACAACCCCCAGAATAACACTACGTTGATTAATTACCTCATATGTTTGCGTATAGTTTTACTATGCGGTAGTGTATAGTTTCTGTAGGAGTTAGCACGTATTTTGACTAGCGGTTCTTAACCTGTGGATCGCGACCCTTTTGGGGGTCGAGCAACCCTTTGACCTGGGTCGCCTAACACCATCAGAAAATACATATTAACTGAAGTTATGAAGTAGCAACGAAAATCATTTCGGTTGGGGGTCACAAGAGGAACTGTTTTAAAGATTCGCAGGAAGGTTGAAAAACCACTGCGTTAGCGCATACTGTCACCAGAAGTTATATATATACTTTGAGCAGATGTGCTCATACATTTCTAGGAGCCGTGTTTTGGTAACGTTAGGCGAAAATAGGCAGCCTGTCTTCAGTTAGTTGGCAAATACTTTATTATTAGTCTTGTTTTTTGCTGGTACATTATTTACAAACACGATTAAGGAGGAACCAGTTGCACTTTAA